ATGCAGAATTTTGGAAGCAATAGACTCTCTCACTGCTGATTCTCTCCCACTCCTTCCTGCCAATACAATACTTCTTTGTTTGGGTATCTTCCTTTGAACTTTGCCATAGAGTTTTCTTAATGGATCTGAAGGTTGATTGTGAATTCTTCCCGCGTGTGGGAGGTAACAATGAGAGTGTGTTAAGGTATGAATAGAAAACGCGGTTCTGCAAACCCCACGCTGCAAAAGACAATTTTAAAAAAGGAATGTTTTGTAAAAGAAGAGTTTCAACCAAGCAAAAAAATTTAACCTGTCCCCTTGACAACATATCAAATAGTATTCCATACAAAAGGAGAGAGAAAGAGAAAGCTGTTGATTCCTTCCATTCTTTTCCTATTAATTTCCCACCCCATATTTAGGGCCCAATTGATGTATCATTTAAGTGGGACCAGTAGCAAAATATTGCACTCTTGGCCAGAGTACTCATTTTCTCATCGCAGATTTCCATCCCCTCATCTCACATTAACTTGGCATTTACTAGCCACCGGGCATGCTCAGTCCTCATTAGACTCTGTCTCCCCTCCCTAAAATCTTTTTAATACTGCAAACCCTAGGGCATGGGTAGGCAAACTAAGGCCTGGGGACCAGATCTGGCCCAATCGCCTTCTAAATCTGGCCCACGGACGGTCCGGGAATCAGCGTGTTTTTATATGAGTAGAATGTGTCCTTTTACAGTGGTACCTCGGGTTACATACGCTTCAGGTTACAGACTCCACTAACCCAGAAATCGTACCCTCGAGTTAAGAACTTTGCTTCAGGATGAGAACAGAAATCATGCTCCGGCGGCATGGCAGCAGCAGGAGGCCCCATTAGCTAAAGTGGTGCTTCAGGTTAAGTACAGTTTCAGGTTAAGAACGGACCTCCGGAACGAATTAAGTACTTAACCTGAGGTACCACTGTATTTTAAATCCATCTCAGGGTTATTTATGGGGCCTGCCCGGTGTTTTTACATTAGTAGAATGTGTGCTTTTATTTAAAATGCATCTCTGGGTTATTTGTGGGGCATAGGAATTCATTCATTATTATTTTTTCAAAATATAGTTTGGCCCACCACAAGGTCTGAGGGACAGTGGACCGACCCCCTGCTGAAAAAGTTTGCTGACCCCTGCCCTAGAGTTATCCTGAAACTTCTGATCCATAAGAACATAATAACTGTCTTAGTAGATCAGGTCAAAGCTCTATCTACTCCAACACAAGAAGAGCCAAGAGTCCCTACCTCTTGCGTGTGGTGTTGAGCATGTACTGGGATGTTAGTGGTGGGGCTTGCCAATTTCCACCCACCCACCCATGTTGAGCCTTCATGCATTTCCCTGAATGCATGAATAGGCCTGAAGAGAACCTACAATATATGTGCAGATACCTGTAGGCAGCTATGGACTGAGAGTCAAAATGGCACAGGGAAAACCCCACCCTGAATGGGAAAGTCTTTTCTTCCTACTCAGGGGGAGCCAACATTTGCGCTTCCCTGAATTTCACAATGCAGTTCTCCAACCAGCTGAAGTGCACACAAAAAATCATATATTTGGGTGGGCAAAAAAGTGCGTACCTTAATGAGAATAGAATGAAAAATGCGTATGGAAAGTTATTTGCAAAAATATGCAGGTTAGTCCAAACTGTGTACAAAAATGGGTATGTTTAGGGGGGAAATCCCTGCTAGAATGCTGATGAATTTTCATGAGGAGTGTTTTGGGGCAGGAAGGGAATTGTAAGTTGCCGCAAAACTGGAGCACTGAATTTAAGATTGAGAAAATGAGGAGCCGAGAGAAACTGAAACGGCCATATTCATCTGTCCTTACATGTAACGTAACTCTGGCACTGCTTCTGTTGCTGCCAACTCTGTCAAAGGATTTCATCATCAAGTCTTTGGGGAGAGGCGCATCTTTGTTCAGAGGAAAGATTTCTTACCTGGTACTTCATAAATTACACATAAACTGACTTCCTGGGGATATCTTCCTTTTGAAAGGTGGCAGGCGTAAAGGAACGAGCAAAGCACAAAGGAAAATAAGCATCTAAATCAAAGCATGTCGTTCAGCTTAGGGAAGCTGGGAAAGGGACGTCTCATAAATATAACTCTGAAGTTTCTCTCTCTCTTAACGACTTCTCAGATGCTCTGCGTAATTATGCACAGCTCAGTTAATTTTCTGGTTGATCTCGGTGTTTGTGTGGAAGAAAATTAATCAAGCATCCTTCAACTCAGCCGCTTTAATCGAGGCAATAACTAACACTCTGGGTATGAATGGATATTTGAAAGAGGGTTGTTTTCATCTGAGAATCAAAAGCAACCCGACAAATAGCTCTTTATTATGAAGAGTAAGTGGTGGTGGACAAAAGCTGTATTGCATTTCTGGATGATTTGAAGTTATTTTGGGCTTGCCTCTCACCGCTAACACCTTGTGGCAATTGGTGGTGTGCATTGTTATTTTTATTTACTCAAAATCTTTCCAATTTACAAATGCCTTGCTTCATAAACGGGAGACCTTTGCTATGCAACATATGCACTCTTTGACAGAGCTGTGGCCAGAGGTGCCAAGCTGTGCCCAAGGCCCATTGTGCACCGTGCACATGTGATGTCATGCACATGACATCACATTGTTGGGAGGAGGCCGAGTGTGGAGCCCAGTGCAGCGAGTCTTCAATGGCAGGTGGTTCCTCCTTTTGTGTACTCAGGAGGAGCTGGCCACTGAAGCCACACTGTGCTTGGCTCTGCTCTCACCTTGGAGACCACCAAGATGAAAGAGGAAGTGGGAAAGAATGTCATTCTTCTAAGTTCCTCCTTCAGCTCTCTGTACTTTTCCAGAGAGAGAAAGGAAGCTATCTTCTACATCTCATGAGCAAGGGGGAGGTGAGTGGGGGGGCTCAGTGGATTCGTGGGGAAGACCTCAAAGGGGCCATTGTGCCCCTTTTGTACGAGCACCCCCATGCTGATTGGAATGGGTTCTCCAGACCTGTGTGTGAAGAATTAATCCACATTACACTGGGATCTCCAAGCAATGTTCTGGTGCTCTGATCTCATTAAGCCAACTATATAGGAAGCATCCCTGACCACTTGAATATGGGAATTTTCTACCACACCAATTTGCTTGCAAACGAGGATGGTAGTATACCTCTCCATTAAAATGGCAAGCACTTAAAAGAATTCTTAACATGAGCTCTGAAGCTATTCCAGGCAAAACACTCTCATCCTTCTGTCTCCTATATTCTAATACGGTACCAGAAATCTCTGTGGGATGCAAAGTGGAGGCATTAAGGAAATTTATTAACTTGCTAAAACTGAGCTGCCTTTGCTGCTGCTAGTAGATAGGCCTGCTCCATGAAAGTTTGGCATAGTTCAGGTGACTTTCCATCAATATAACAGTATTCAAAGGAGGTCCAATCCAGGCAGGCTGTTTATCTCCATAACCAGGAAGGCCATGTGCCTGCTTAGGTCTTTAATCCCACAAGTCATAGAGGCACATAGAACTGTTGGGGAGAAGCCTCAGAGGTGCTTTACTTCAGAAAACACAGCAACGCTTGCCATAATTCAAAAGCCAAATGTTGAAATATGTTTATGGGCACTTAGTTTACTGCATAAGTGGAAAAAGTGGAGTTGCCTGAGAGATGTATTGCTGCAGTGGTGTTACATACGATAAAACCTACCATGTCCCCCCCCCCCACATTCTCCTTAGTCCCCATTTTTGTCATTAGAGGTTAATAGTTACACCCTAGTGGATATCGTAGAGTTGGAAGGGACACCAAGGGTCATCTAATCCAACCCCCTGCAATGCAGGAATCTCAGCTACAGCATCCATGACAGATGGTCATCCAACCCCTGCTTAGAAACCTCCACAGAAGGAGAGCCCACAACCTCCCAAGGAGTCTGTTCCACTGTCAAACAGCTCTTAGTGTCATGTAGGATTCTAAATCTCTACAGTTTGCTGCATGCACTATCTATGCATCCCATATGCTGCTACTTAACAGGGTCAGTTCCTGTTCCCTGGTATCTATCTGTGAGTTGCTAGACTTGTCCTCCTTCAGAGTTCGGTCAAAGTTAAATCTCAGGGTGAAAAGTGAACTCATTGAACTGGTTTTAGATGTCATGCTAAGCCATAGTTTAGTGGTAGGAGGATGAGCAGCTTTGAAGCTCATGTACTCTCCTTTCATCCACTGCAGCCCTGAGGAGGAGATGGAAGGTTTCTGCTTCTCTTATATGCTTGATGTACTTTAGCATGTTGTAAGAACATAAATGATGGTTCATTATCCCTACGGTTAATGGAAACAAGCCAGCTTTGTCAACGGCGGTATCTCACCCCAAGTCTTCTACATCCGGTTCATCTCCCAGACATCTTCCACTAGCAAGCCCTGCTTGACTGTTGGACCTGATCCTGCAACCATGCAGGAAGGAAGCCCAGAAGGTCCTTCCCAGGATGCTTGAGGAATTGGATTTCAGCTATGATTTCAGACAGATTGGAACCCAATTTCTCCTCTGGCTTTTGCCCTCCCCAAATGTTCTGATGCTCAAATGTGTAATTTGCAAGAAAACAGGTTTTGAAAACATGTATTTAAATGCAAATTTCTATGTAGATTAAAAAACCAACAACAAATTGGCTCAAAATTGTAACAGACTTATGGGGGCAAAAAACACAGGCAAAAGCAACATGGAAATAAATTGGCCAATTCATTATATCCCTGGTTCAATGCAATAACAGTTCTTGTGGATGTTCTGCTTCAGATGGTTATAGAAAGTATTCTAAGGGTTGATCTACACACATGAAAAACTGCTATAAATAAGTCAGAAATTAAATTGTTATAACAAAAGAAAAAGGTTATGGATAATCACCTAGATCATTATTTATTTATTTATTGCTCCCCAGCGCTATCTGGTGTTGCATGTTTATAATGCATTCAGAACACTGTTTTTTGACTAATGTAGCCGAGTCCTAAGTCTTTGGCTAACTTCACTTTGCTCCCTCTCTGCCTTACAGGTGTAAAGAGCTGAAATACCCAAAGGATCTCCCGCAGATTTCTATTATTTTTATCTTCGTGAACGAGGCCTTGTCGGTCATCCTGCGTTCAGTGCACAGTGCGGTGAATCACACACCTGCTCACCTGCTGAAGGAGATAATTCTTGTAGATGACAACAGTGACGAAGGTGAGTGAGCTCATCCCTTTGGAGGACAACGCATGCAGGCCATTCTCAAAGTAGTCACCCTTTGCCCTAATGGACCAACCTCCAGTGGATGCTCACTTGGACTCCAGAGCTACCTGGAAGTTGCGCAACTGTCCGCTGCCTTTCATAACATCTTGGCACTCCCTTGTGTTCAAACCACACTTCTTTATTTTTCCCTCTTATCTCCTTGCCTCATGAATCATACAGGACTGGCCATGCAGAAACCCACTAGGAAGCACCCGGTGTTGAGGGAGGGGCATCCTTCCTAGGAGTAGAAGGGTGGATTTGGGATAGGGGATGAGAAGGATAAATTTGATATGTTCCTTTCTTACATATATATCTGCCCTCCTCCCCACGCCTGGTGCCACAGATGCTATTAATAAAAAGTAGACCAGGGGTCAGCAAACTTTTTCAGTGGGGGGTCGGTCCACTGTCCCTCAGATCTTGTAGGGGGCCGGACTATATTTTGGGGAGGGAAATGAACGAATTCCTATGCCCCACAAATAACCCAGAGATGCATTTCAAATACAGTGGTACCTCGGTTTACATACGCTTCAGGTAACATCCGCTTCAGGTTACAGACTCTGCTAACCTAGAAATAGTGCTTCAGGTTAAGAACTTTGCTTCAGGATGAGAACAGAAATTGTGCTCTGGCAGCGTGGCAGCAGCAGGCGGCCCCATTAGCTAAAGTGGTGCTTCAGGTTAAGAACAGCTTCAGGTTCAGAACGGACCTCCAGAATGAATTAGGTACTTAACCTGAGGTACCACTGTAAAAGGACACGTTCTACTCATGTAAAAACACGCTGATTCCTGGACTGTCCGTGGGCCAGATTTAGAAGGCGATTGGGCCGCATCCAGCCCCCGGGCCTTAGTTTGCCTACCCATGAAGTAGGCTATCTGTGGATCATTCGGTTGCATGTGGAATTCTGGATAGGGCATCTTTCCAAATATAATGAAATGCTTGTGTTAAGGCATTTGAACTGAAAACCCTCAACCGAACTTGTTCAGCTTGAAAGGGTGACCTTGGTGAGGTGGGAGTGGGAATTTCATACCCAGCAGTGGTGGCTGGGGTCCATTGGGAGGCAGGGAGTTCAAACAGTGCATGGAACCAGAGTGAAGGACAAATAGAGCCAACCAAGGCCCCATCTGCACTATACATTTAAAGCAGTCTCGCACCACTTTAAACAGTCCTAGCTTCTATGCTGAAATGGCAAAAATGGCCGGAAGAGTCAGAAATCAGGAAGACCTGATTATATCTTAAAGACCACTGTAAACAGTTAAAATCGTTAGTAGGATTGGAATATCACTTGTAGTTTAAGGTTGAATTATGGACGTAATGGAAGAGGTAAAGGAAATGGGTCATTATAAAAGATGTGGGAGGAACTGATTAATAATGGGACCCACAAAGGGGAGGGTGGAAATCCAGGAGATTCCTTGGAATCTTGTTTTTATTATTTATATTTGAGATATCTCTGTAAAATTTTAATTTGAAAAACTAATAACCAAATAAATACATTTTCAATTTTTTTTAAAAAAAATTAAGCAGTCCTAGCTTTCCCCAAAGAATCCTGGGAACTGTAGTTTGGGCTCTCTATTATTCATTTACATTACATTCATCAGCCTCTTAATGAATGTAACCTCAACTGATGCAATGTAGCATCAATTCTCTGAGTAAGCCTAGGCAAATATATATTACCTCATTGTTGAAAGCTTTAAATAGTTGTGGCTCCCCCCCAACGGAGTATCACGGGAACTATACTTTAAGGGTTCTGAGATTTGTTAGGAGACCCTTATTCTCCTCACAGAACTACAGTTTCTAGACTGCTTTAACAATCCATCCATCTGCATGGGGAATCTGGGAATTGGAACTCTGTGAGGGGAATAGGTTGCCCCCTAACAACTTTCAGCCCCTTAACTAACTACAGTTCCCATAATTCTTTGGGAGGGGGAGCCATGATGGTTTAAAGTGGTATAAAGTAAAGGACCCCTGACCATTAGGTCCAATCGCGAACAACTCTGGGGTCATCTTGCTTTATTGGCCGAGGGAGCTGGTGTACAGCTTCCGGGTCATGTGGCCAGCATGACTAAGCCACTTCTGGCGAATCAGAGCAGCACACGGAAACGCCGTTTGCCTTCCTGCCAGAGCGGTACCTATTTATCTACTTGCACTAGCATGCTTTCGAACTGCTAGGTTGGCAGGAGCAGGGACCGAGCAACGGGAGGTCACCCCGTCACGGGGATTCAAACCGCCGACCTTCTGATCGGCAAGCCCTAGGCTCTGTGGTTTAACCCACAGCGCCACCTGCGTCCCATTAAAGTGGTATAATGATGCTTAAATGTATAGCACAGATGGGGCCAGGCTGTCAGGGACACTCCAGTCTTTCAGACTGTTCTTTCCCATTCCTACCTGGAGCTGCCAGGAATTCAACCTGGGATCCCAACTGCACTGCAAATTCCCACTTATCTTGCTTGCATTCTACTTTCAGCTGCCTCCTGTTCCTTCATGAACAACTTAAACCTTGTTTTTTGAAGCCTGGGTGGTGCTGAGCCTGCGCCATAAGCTGCACTTTGAAATATTAATGGCATTGTCTTATGTCAAAACAATGCTATGAAGAAACCCAACACCAGCCTTATGGGACTTAGAGACAATTTATAATCTCTGCCTCTTTGAATTTCCTCAGAAGGGAAGTGACTTCCGTTTAGAGGGGCAGAGTGGGAATCTCCCACGCAGCTGCTTTGACGTTCTCCTTTTGTTCCTGCATCTCCGCTTTGGCATAAAAGGCAGAGCAATAAATGGGGTGAAATGGCTGTGCGGCGTGAGGGGAACTGTGTCCTGCAAATACAGCTTTATTTGCACACACAAGAAGTCTGCGCATTCAAAGTGCGAGCCATGAACCCATTTCATTTGACGCCATCTCAGCCTGAGCCCATGAGGTTTCGCTCTGCTGTTTACCACTCCTTTTATTTCTTATTCCTACATTCTCTTGAAGTAACAGCCTGCTTTGCCACTTATCTCCAAAGCATGTTGACCTTGCAAATGTCTTTACCAGCAGTAGACTCTGAGAAAGAGAAACTGGAATAATTCCTGAAGTTCTGCAGTGAGATTGTTTTTCCCCCACCAGTATTTGGAGAAAAGAGTGGAACAAAAACCTTTAGGGTGTGCAGGAACTAAAGAGCCAATTTCCCACCCATATGAGCCATTTTAACAGTCATGGCTTCCCCTGAAGAGTCCTGGGAAACATAGTTTGTTATGGGTGCTGTTCCCAGAGTGGTTTAAACATCAATCTGTCTTTCCAGGGAACTTTCCAAGGAAACAGGGGCCTCCTGAAAATCCTCAGAAGCTTTAACAAACTATGCCCCCCAAAATACTTTAGGGGAAGACATGACATTTAAAATGGTCACATAGTGCTTTAAATATATAACATGGAACCTTGATATCCATTGCACCTTGGATAATAGATAAGCAGCACACAGAAACCAGCCATTTCATTGCAACTTGAATGTGGTGCCTAATATCAAAAGGCATTGACTATAGATGAGAATTTCTAGGCGGATTTGATTGACAGATGATACTTCTCATTGTCAGAAGTGCTGTGGAGGTGTAGTGGAGGGGGGAGATGAGGAACAGTCGCAGTATAACCATACTTTAAATGGATGGTGCAGGTGTGGCCCAAGTCACCGTCATGTGAAAGACAAAAATCCCATGACTGCAATCATGGAGCAGGAATTCTAACAGATTCATGGACCAACAAATTTTGTTCCCGTACTCCTGGAGTGGAGAACTAGATTGTTACTTTTCCCCACCCTTTTGGGGGCCAAATTTGACAGGTCAGATGTGCCCACCATTCAATCGCCTGATATCACAGGTATCTGATCTTGGATGCAGGTGCTGACTGAAACCCTCCCAGAACAGGAGAAGCTTCATCAAGCCATCTCCACAGTAAGAAATGAGACTTGGGAAGAATCAGAATTGGAGAGTTGGAAGGGACCCTCAGGCCCATCTAGTCCAACCCCTGCAATACAGGAAATCTACCCACAACAATCTGTAGGTGGGCTCAAACCACCAACCTTCTGGTTAACAGCCAGGCCCACTGACCCACTGAGCTCTGGATTAGCAATAGAGCGCATGTTTTGCATGCAAAAAATACCAGGTTCACTTCTCAGCATCTCAAACTAGGGCCAGGAGAGATCCTTAATTGAAATCCTGGAGCATCACTGCTGGTTAATACTAAGCTAGATACACCAGTGGTCTCACTCTCCTCATAGGGCAGCTTTCGATGCTCATAATAGGATGTTGAATGGTGCCAGGGGGTGAAAGAAACCCAATTCTGCACCTCAAATAATCTCATGGTTAGAGGTTTTGTATTGCTTCAAGAAGAGCCTGCTAGATCAGGCCAGGAGGCCATAAAGTCCACATCCCATTTTCATGTTGGCCAACTAGAAGCCTGCATGCAGGACATGAGCACAACAATGCTCTCCTCCAGTGTGGTTCTAGAAAGTGGAATTCAGAAGCAAACTGCCTCCAGTGGTAGAGGTAGAACATAGCCGTCATTGTTAGGTTGTGGGTGAACATATCAGACGACACAGCGATTCTTCAAACAGCTCTTGTTTATTCACAGGCCAGGACAGAACTGAACTGAAGGGTTCAGTCAGCTGCTTATATAGAGCTCCAGTACAATGTAACTGTAACAATTTTCTAAAACTATCCAGTCACTGAACGTCACTTTTGATCCCTTATTTGCATAACTATCTATAGTATCCCCCTGCTGGCCCAGGGTGAGAACTTCAGTACATAACAGTCATGGCAATTAGCATCCGTGAATTTGACTAATCTTCATGAAGCCATCCAAATTGGTGGTCATCACTTGCTTCTTGTGGGAGTGGATTCCATAGTTTAATTGTTCACTTTATGAAGAAGTACTGTCTGCAATCTCCTAACATTCAGCTTCTCTGAATGTCTCTTGAGTTGCAGTGGGCGAGGGGTGTCTTGCCCAAGGCAAGGTGGGTTGTTGTTTTTTTATTAAAGAGAGAGAGAGAGAGATTCAGAAGCAATACAAAATACACAAGTGAGTGAGAAGATTAAAGATCTTCTTCTCAAATAGCAAGCAATGTATACATACCAAGCAAGCACTTCAATCTGCCACTTGGAAGCCCCCAAGAAGCAGTGGAGCAGCTCCCCCAGGTAGCCTCAGTTTGCACGGCCCTGCAGCCGATCAGTCCGTGCACAAGCTTCAAAGAAACTCTGCCCAAACCATCCGATTTTACAGATAGCCTATGTGGCTTGCCAGGCTGGCTACGTGCAGATCATCCATTAGCAACCTCCTCCCAGTGCCTCACTTTCTCAAAACAATGTCCAACATCAAAGAAGGTACCCAGGGCCGGATTTAGGTTTGCTGAGGCCCTAAGCTACTGAAGGTCATGGGGCCCTTTATATGTCCAGCTGTCCTTTGTCAACAACAAATTGCCGCTGTTTTTTGTGTTGAATATATGCTATATGGTAATTTATGGATCTAAAAGATATCTAAAGCCATTTGCACATGCAGAATGTAGGCACCCTATATGTAGAAATGAGCAAACCAGTGATATTTTTTTTGTTTTTTATCTTATATTTTGGAAATGGACATCCAGGGTTGTTTTTCCTTTTATTTTTTGGGGGGCCCCCAAGAGAGTGGGCCCTAAGCTATAGCTTGTTTAGCTGATACGTAAATTCGGCACTGAAGGTACCCAGTATTATCCCCCCCCCCCCCGCACTGATTAAGGCAGCTGTGGGGGGTGGTTTCACCTCTCAAACCATCAAAAAACTTAACAAGAGCGAGGGAGGGAGAAGGAACAGAGGCACGAAGGGTAGCCTTGTCAGATCACTAACTCTTCGATATATTTTTGTCTTCTGGACGCATTTCCCATACAGAGGGAGACAAACTTTTCTCTATTCACTTTCTCTATGTTACATTTACAGCCTTGATAGCAACTGGCTTCCTACATGGATGAGTATCTAAATCTTCTCCCTCATTTCACCTCTGAAGATCTAAGGATTCTCTCTTTGTGTGTGTCTCTGCCTCTCTTATAGTTTTAGTGAAAAAATGAAAATGGGGAATTGGATTTCCCCAATGTTGAACATCAAATACAAACTATTTTCTATGCTGCTCTTCCTAATGGAAATGGTGAATGTTTAGGGCTGGAGCAAAAGAATGCTTAATATATATTTCCCAGCCTTAACTGCAGCGAAGTACTTTGTGTGAGGAACGAAAATAACTTTTAAGTGCATCAAATGAAAAAAAAACCCTCTTTTGATTTAGTGCTTCTCTCAAATTAGCCCCATCTTTTCTAATTATTGATTGAAAATCATGCCTCAGTCAATTTGCCACCTTCAACTGCAATGAAGTAGTTTGCTGTGATGCAGCAGTGATTTATAATTGAATTAAGCCAGTTTCAGTAGGTTGGGTTGCTGTTCCCTTGGTTTTTGTAGTGACACTTCCGCGCTTTTAACAGCTTCACAACAGACAGAAATTCAATGGGTGGAGTGCTGAACCTGTTGAACAATGGCCTGCCATGGCTTGTTTTGGGAATGTCAAAGAGAGACTGGGCAGATGAAAAGTGGGAGCAGTTGAGATGAAAAGCTGGTGGGTGAGTAGGGAATAAGTCCTTTACCTTGGACTGAGGAGGACAGACACAGGAAGGAGACAGTCAGAAGGGGGAAAGAGATTCCCAAGGTGAGGGAAGAAGTATGCTTGTAAGTTGGAGATATAATAATAATAATAATAATAATAATAATAATAATAATAATAATTTATTATTTATACCCCGCCCATCTGGCTGGGCTTCCCCAAGCCACTCTGGGCGGCTTCCAAAAGAATATTAAAATACTATAATACATCAAACATTAAAAGCTTCCCTAAACAGTGCTGCCTTCAGATGTCTTCTAAAAGTCTGGTAGTTGTTTTTCTCTTTGACATCTGGTGGGAGGGCGTTCCACAGGGCGGGTGCCACTACCGAGAAGGCCCTCTGCCTGGTTCCCTGTAACTTGGCTTCTCGCAGTGAGGGAACCGCCAGAAGGCCCTTGGTGCTGGACCTCAGTGTCCGGGTAGAATGATGGGGGTGGAGACGCTCCTTCAGATATACTGGACCAAGGCCGTTTAGGGCTTTAAAGGTCAGCACCAACACTTTGAATTGTGCTCGGAAACGATGTGAGAGTCTGCCTCTCTGCGTGTGGATAAATAATAGGGTCACCATATGTACCACAAAATTCTGGTGATGTCTGGGAGGTGGGTGCTAAATTGTCACCCAGGGGGGAAATTAATTAAATAGTAAATGTCCGGGATTTGTCTGTTCCCCGGCGGAAGCGCTGTGCAGCTTGTTGCCTCCTAGACGATGATTTCAGAAGCCCTTGTCCACCACTGCCATCCCCCCAAAGAAAGCTCAACAACTTCGGACGATTGCTCAGGAAAAGCTCAACAACTTTTTGGTCTATCGCCCCAAAGTAGCTGAGCAACTGTGTCCAGATTTTTACTTCTTGAAATATGGCAACCCTGATATATGATATAGGGACATGGGTGGCGCTGTGGGTTAAACCACAGAGCCTAGGACTTGCCAATCAGAAAGTCAGTGGTTAAAATTCCCACAACGGGGTGAGCTCCTGTTGCTCGGTCCCTGCTCCTGCCAACCTAGCAGTTTGAAAGCACGTCAAAGTGCAAGTAGATAAATAGGTACCGCTCCGGCGGGAAGGTAAACGGCATTTCTGTGTGCTGCTCTGGTTCGCCAGAAGTGGCTTAGTCATGCTGGCCACATGACCTGGAAGCTGTATGCCAGCTCCCTCGGCCAATAAAGCGAGATGAGCGCCGCAACCCCAGAGTCAGCCATGATTGGACCTAATGGTCAGAGGTCCCTTTACCTTTACCTTTAATATATGATATAACTATGGTAAATGGCCTTATAGTTATTTTCTTTCTCTTTTTCTCCTGGTTTTTATTTCTTGGGTTTCTTTTAATTATTATTCTTGTTCTGTAGACTAGTCTGATTCTTGTATTTTATGTCAAAAATTTCTGAACCATGGCTTAAATATGCAATTGGAAGCCAAGATGATAGGTTCTCAATCCAGGTGTGCACAGACCCTGGTCTGGCACGTGGCACTTTGATTGAGATGGTGTCCTATATGAGAACATCTCAGCTTCTGCTTTGACTCCCAAAAGTCTCTGTGTCACTCCAGTTCTTTGGGTTTCTCTTTCTCATTCTAGAGGAATTGAAGGCACCCCTGGAAGAGTATGTCAACAAGCGATACCCTGGCCTGGTGAAGGTGGTCCGCAATCAGAAAAGGGAAGGCCTCATCCGAGCTCGCATCGAAGGCTGGAAGGTTGCCTTGGGCCAGATCACTGGCTTCTTCGACGCACACGTGGAGTTCACAGCAGGCTGGTACGTGAAGCACTTAAGGCCCCAGCGCTAACTCATTAGTAGAACAACGTGCTGGTCATTCTGCAACAGAGGTGGCTTCAGGATAGTGTGACCACTGTAGTTCCTCTGGGCGCCACACTGCAGGGGATGCCAGAACGATACTGCCCAGTATACCTGAAGGAGCGTCTCCACCCCCAGCACTTAGCCCAGACACCGAGGTCCAGCTCTGAGGGCCGTCTGGCGGTTCCCTCTCTTTGAGAAGCCAAATTACAGGGAGCCAGGCAGAGGGCCTTCTTGGTAGTGGTCCCCGCCCTGTGGAATGCCCTCCCATCAGATTTCAAGGAAATAAACAACTACCTGACTTTTAGAAGACATCTGAAGACAGCCCTGTTTAGGGAAGTTTTTAATGTTTGATATTTTATCACTTTATTATTATTAATTATAATATTCTGTTGGGAGCTGTCCAGAGTGGCTGGGGAAACCCAGCCAGATGGGTGGGTTTTAAATAAAAAAATAAAAAAATAATAAGAATTGGCAGGGTGGAGTGCCAAATTTAGCATCACACAGGCCACTGCTGAAATTTGCCACTGTTTGGCAACCAGGGTGTCTGTTTCCATTTAAGGCTGCATTTGTAAATGCATTTGCATAATATATGTATTTGGGCAAGCAATTCTCCCTAACACAATACATTTTTAAAAAATATTTTCACGCACACATGATTTTTTTGGGTGCATTTCCGTATAATATGTACAGTCATACCTCAGGTCACAGACGCTTCAGGTTGCGTTTTTTCGGGTTATGGACCCGCCAAAACCTGGAAGTACCGGAACGGGTTACTTCTGGGTTTCAGGGATCACGCAGAAGCGCTAAATCATGCTTTGCACATGCACAGAAGCACTGAATCACAACCCGCGCATGCGCAGACGCGCCTCTGCGTGTTGCGAACGCTGCGGGTTGCGAACATGCACCACCCAAGCGTCCACTGTACATTTGTTGCTGTTGTTGGAGAACTGTATCACAGAATTTGGAGAAGTGAAAACTGGGTTGGCTTGTATGAAGATGTAAAAACAAGAACACATTCTCCCCTCCATCCCTACCCCTCATTGCCTCAAATTCAGCCTCATGATCTCACGCCAGGAACACACTGGATGGGGTTCACCTAACGTCCCCCACCAGTGAAAGCCCTTTGCAAGGACCTCTGCTTATGCAACTGGGCTTTCCGTCCATTTACTTGCAGTGCACCCCTGTGCATCCCAAGATTGGCTTGGGGTGGGTGGGAGAACCTCCAGAACCCGGGGAGGGGGGGAGGGGAAGATAATTCCACCTGTCAAACTGCAATGTTTGCATGGATGGAAAATTTGTAGTAGTGGAACAATGAATTCTTCCCTTTAAGTTAGTAATGGTTACATTAGCCTAAGTCTCCCACACTAAGAATAAGTAGGAGGCAGCAAAAAGCCATTTAAAATGCCTCTCCTGGGACTTCTCCAGACATAAACGTGCATTCATGATAATTTGTGCTCGTGATGGCACTGGGATAGTTATGCAAGGCCATGCTTTCAACGCGTTTGTATTTGCTAAAGTTTTGGAGAAGACATTTGGCTTAATTTCTAATTGAGCTGCCATTGCTCGGTCCCTGCTCCTGCCCACCTAGCAGTTCGAAAGCACGTCAAAGTGCAAGTAAATAAATAGGTACTGCTCCGGCGGGAAGGTAAACAGCATTTCTGTGCACTGCTCTGGTTTCGGCAGAACAGGCTTAGTCATGCTGGCCACATGACCCGGAAAAACTGTCTGCGGACAAACGTAGACTCCCTCGGCCAGTAAAGCGAGATGAGTGCCGCAACCCCAGAGTCGTTTGTGACTGGACTTAACTGTCAGGGGTCCTTTACCTTTACCTTTCACCTGTCACATTCTGATGCAGTCCTGCAAATTTTCATAATGCAGGTGTTCCAGGTGTGGTTGTTTTTCGTCCCACTTTTGTTGTGCTATAGCACAAGAGTCCCCTGCCAGAGAGCAATAAGGTGGCATTATCGTTCAGGAATCCCCACAAAACAACGAGCCACAGTGGCGATGTTCTGCCTCCTCTGCCAGAGGTACTATGGACATCCCAGAAGCCTCAGATGTTTAGCACGTGGCGCTCATAATGCCAAGGTTGCAGGTTTGATCCCTGTATGGGACAGCTGCATATTGCTGCATTGCAGGAGTTGGACTACATCAGGCATAGGCAAACTCGCCCCTCCAGATGTTTTGGGACTACAACTCCCATTATCCCTAGCTAACAGGACCAGTGGTCAGGGATGATGGGAGTTGTAGTCCCAAAACACCTGGAGGGCCGAGTTTGGCTATGCTTGGATGACATGATCCTCAGGGTCCCTTCCAACTCTACAATTGTCTGATTCTCTGACTCAGTGAGGGCTTTTGAATACCAGTTACTGGGAATCACAGGTGGGGAGAATACTCGTACCCTCAGGCTCCACTTGTGGTCTTCTGATGGACATCTGGTTGGCTCCTGTGAGAATAGGGCACTGGGTTAGTTGGGCCATTGGCCTGATTCAACAGTGCTCTACTTATGTAAAGGCAACCTGCCAATTTACACATGTTCATATGCGGCCTCACATATGCACATCGTGCCAAACCCGGAAGTGACCCAGAAACATCACAAAAAGGGGTGGAATGGGGTATTTCCAGGCTTTTTTCAGAGGGGTTTCAAATAGATAAGACTTCACAGATGTGTGTGGTGCCCTGGAACGTAACCCTGGCGTAAAGGGGTGGGTGGGTGTTGCCTATACTTACGGATTGTCACCAGCTAAGTTCTACTCAGAGTAAACCCATTGAAAGTAATAAGCCTAAGTTAGCCGCACCTATTCACTTGAATGGGTCTAGCAGTGGATAAAACTCTTAAGTTCTTAATAAGGAAAAATGCTGTACAATATAATAATATAATAATAATTTATTATTTCTACCCAGCCCATCGGAGGGATGCGGGTGGCGCTGTGGGTTAAACCACAGAGCCTAGGACTTGCGATCAGAAGGTTGGCAGTTCGAATCCCCGCGACGGGGTGAGCTCCCGTTGCTCGGTCCCTGCTCCTGCCAACCTAGCAGTTCAAAAGCATGTCAAAGTGCAAGTAGACAAAAAGGTACCGCTCCGGCGGGAAGGTAAACGGCGTTTCCGTGCGCTGCTCTGGTTCACCAGAAGCGGCTTAGTCATGCTGGCCACATGACCTGGAAGCTGTCTGCGGACAAATGCCGGCTCCCTCGGCCCATAGAGCGAGATGAGCACCGCAACCCCAGAGTCAGTCACGACTGGAGCTAATGGTCAGGGGTACCTTTACATTTATCTTTACCCAGCCCATCTAGCTGGGTTTCCTCAGCCACTCTGGCCGGCTTTCAACAGAACATTAAAAACAGAACAAAACATCAAGCATTAAAAACTTCCGTAAACAGGGCTGCCTTCAGATGTCTTCTAAAAGTCAGATAGTTGTTTATTTCCTTGACTTCTTATGGGAGGGTGTTTCACAGGGCGGGCACCACTGTATGGACAGTCCAGAATAAATTGACTACTAATTTGTGTCAACGACATGTTGCAAAATGTCTCCACAGCACACACACGCTTCTGTTTCTGGAGTGTCAAGGCTATGAAAGGGTTTATGCCGTTTCTACTTCTCTGTGCTGAAAGAGAAGTGTTGCTCCCCCCCTCCTCTTCCTATGTTTTTACAACAGAACAGGCTATGTTTCTTTTTTTCAAAAAAGAAAAAGAAAAAAAGAAAATTCCATCTCCTTTGCTCTTCTTGAAATATGTGTGACACGTGAGCCTATAATGCATGTTTCATTGTGTGCCTTGAAAAAGATGCAGAAAGCACCCAGGAGTAAAATAGTGGCATATCTACACAACATGCATGGTGGAGGAGTGACAGATTTTGAGTGGAGTCACCTGAGCTTTCCTTTGAACAATAAAGCTGAAGGATGTGTTCAGAAGGCTTATTTTCAATGCTCGCACCTGTACGCCGAGCTAAGCTAAATGCTATTATCGCTCAAGTCACTTGTTCTTCAGAACTGGGTTTTTCACTCATGCAAGCCAGGTGGAGCAAAAAGGACACTATAATTGACTGAACTCCTGTGTTTTGAAAGGGCTTCTTTGATGTATGGAGCATTGATTTCCCCCTTGTGTTTTACTACACAGAGAGCTTTACAATTACAGCAGGACTTTGCTTTGGATTATGTTGCTGTTTTTATTGTTGTTCATTTCATTTTGATACTGCTTTATATTTTTAAGGGGTGGGGTATCTAAAAGCTTACAACCTACATCAAATAAAACAATCCAGAATAAAACACCAGAGAAGGAAGTCAAATATAAAATGTGCATTTAGAACAGCATAATTAGCAAGGGAATAAATAGCTCAGTTGGTTAGAATGTGGTCAGACAGCTCCATGGTTGCAGGTTCGATCCCCGTAAGGGATTCTAAATTCCATTGTAGAGGTTTGGACTGGAGGTCCTTTCTAATTCTATGATTCTATGAGATGAAATGTCATCGTAAGCATGGAACGTATCTGCTGCTGTTGCTGCTGATCCTGCCAATGGTGGTTCATGGCGGGCAGCGGCAATGGAAGCTCACCTGGGTCTTCAGCCTCACCTTTCGTAGCTGGAATCAGGGAGCAGGTCTTCTGAGTCTCACAGCCAAGATGGTTATGGGGATGGAGCACATGAATCTAAATGGGGAAATCCATTGCTTTATTCAAAGCCATAAGGTATAGAAGATCAGTGACCCTTTCTGAATTCCAATGTATGTGCGCAAGGTAGATGTTCAGAACCAAATGGAAGCTATGAAGGGGCCCCCAAATTTAAACACACACCTTCCACCAAGATTTTGAAGTTGGGGTTGGGGTAGAATTATAGAATCATATGCATACTACTTTAATAGTCAATACTTCTCACAAAGATTTCTGGGAACTGTAGTTTAAGAAGAAGAGAAGAGTTTGGACTTGATATGCCGCCTTTCACTCCCCTTAAGGAGTCTCAAAGTGGCTAACAATCTCCTTTCCCTTCCTCCCACACAACAAACATTCTGTGAGGTGAGTGAGGACTGAGAGACTTCAGAGAAGTGTGACTGGCACAAGGTCACCCAGCAGCTGCATGTGGAAGAACGGGGAAGCGAACCCGGTTCACCAGATTACAAATCCACCACTCTTAACCACTACACCATGCTGGCTTAAGGGGGGAAGGGGATTATTGATTTGTTCTTATTATGCATTTTGTGTTTTTTATCTTGTAGTTTTATGTTGTGAACCACCCTGAGATATACAAATGAAGGATGGCATACACATTTATTATTGTTGTTGCATATATTATTAGTATTAGTATTAGTATTAGTATTAGTATTAGTATTAGTATTAGTATTAGTATTAGTATAACAACAACAGCAGCAGCAGCAACAACAACAGTTCCCAAGTTGTTAGAAGACTCTGTTCCCCTTACTGAGCTACAATTCCTAGAATGGTTAGCAATCAATCCCTTTCCCCGGGGAATTTTGGAAAGTGTAGTTCTGTGAGACAAATGGGGGTCTCCACATAACTTTCAGCAACCCTAACAATTCCATCCTTAACAAACAATAGCTCCCTGACTCTGTAACTGTTAACGTGGTACAATGGTGCTTTAAAAATGTGATGCAGATGTGGCCTTCCTTAAGTTACCCCCCCACACACACACACTCAGTGTTCACAGTCGCAATAAGAATTGGCTTATAAAAAAGCATTATTATTATTATTATTATTATTATTATTATTATTATTACGATCCTGAGAACACCATCATAAAAGCTTTGTGAAAACAGTGGGTGATGCTGCTGAAGGGCTTAGCGTTTCAGCTACCTACATTTCGTGTTATCTCAAGGTGACTCAAGTACACGGTCTCTCATCTTCACAAAAGCAGAGGAAAGCTTTGGGGCACATTGACAACAGGGGACTGTTAAGGGCAGGGTGTATAAATCAAATCAGGCAAACGGACACCAAATACGGATTTAGGCTGTAATTCTGTACTCTCTTAATTGGGGGGTGGGGGGGCTGTCCCACTGAACTCAGTGGGGCTTGCTTCTGAGTAGACATAGCCACTGTAAGTACCTTCCTTGAAGCAGTCTGTGTAAAAGCCCTGAACGCAAAAAGAAAATAAAAGAAAAAGAAGAAGCCTTGCAGTCATATGGTTATGGTTGTGCAGGTTGTCGGAATTTTGATGCATCTCATTACATTTCAAATGCAAATATCATACATAGATGATTCTATTTATATCCTGTCAGAATCTATTGCCGTACTAGATTTGAAATTTCGTTTTACTCAACAGTCCAAAGTTCTTATGTCATTCAGCGATGAGTGTGGCGTTCCTAGGGGTCTGTCTGGGGGAAACCCCACGGCACGGCTGCAGTAATCCACAAGCACCTACCTTTTGCCCTAGTCAATGTGGGCAGGTAGGCCTTCAGAAGTGAAGGAGCAGCTGCCACTTCTCATCTCCCACCCCAGTTAGGATCGATACGCCTACGTCCTTCAAAGCTGTTTTGCTTTACTTTTCAGGGCTGAGCCTGTTCTTTCACGGATCCAGGAAAACAGGAAAAGAGTCATTCTTCCTTCTATTGACAATATCAAGCAGGACACCTTTGAGGTTCAGCGCTATGAAAATTCAGCCCATGGATACAGTTGGGAACTGTGGTGCATGTACATTAGCCCACCGAAGGACTGGTGGGATGCTGGAGACCCTTCACTACCAATCAGGTTGGTTGCAGAACAGCATGATGTGAAATAGCAGGCATTTCAACGAGAATCTGTGAATTCAGATTTACCCACATTAAGATTCTGGTTATAAGTTACTTGTCACATTGGTGTGTCGGCCAGTCTTTATTACTGGAGAATTCAGAAAAAATCTCCCAGAAACAAGTGGAGAAATTGGGAAGGGACAATGGAGCTCCTACTGACCTCTGTCCATTGCAGATCTTATCTCTTCTGGAAAAGCTGAGTCGGTAGAGCATGCAATTCCTAATCTCAGGGTCATGGGTTTGAGCCCTGCGTTGGGGAAAAGATTCCTGCATTGCAAGGGTTTGGGCTAGATGACCCTCAATGTCCCTTCCACCTTTACATTTCTATGATTCTGTGGCTTTTCTCCATGGGAAAGGTGAGGAGCAGGCATTAGGATATGTCCAGGAGAGATACGATGAGGATAAATCATAACACTTTAAAGATGGCAAGTGGCCGAACAATCCTTTCCAGCTCCCCATGCAATCTCTAGTAGAACAATCAGATTTTCCAACAGCTTAATTGCAGATACTTTCCACAGGAAGTGTGAAAGATGTAGCCAATATCTTATTCTAGATTACTTTGAATGGAATGGAAACATCAGCACTTTTGAGGCCTTGCATAGTCTGCTGTTCTTGGAGCCATCTTGCTTCTTGTGTTCTGAAAGTCTTAAAACTCCAAACGTGAGTTGAGTGTAGCAGTTAATAGTAAAAGGATTGGGATGTACTGTGTGATATTTGGAGACTAGCAAGAGTTTTGAAAAAGCAGATCCAACCCAGATGCCGCAGGCTTGGAGAGCTGTCAACCAACTGAACCAAAATCATGTTGGCTGTATGCCATAGGAAAGGATTACGAGTGAGAGCAATCCTTCATTTATATAGAAGTTGCATACTGGCACATGTCTGATGATTTTGTCACATGAATAAGTACTTAGGTGCATAACGGGCTGTATTGCAGGAGTTCCCAAATTGTGGTCTGTGGCTCGCCAGTGTTCTGTTAGGTTAAGTTAGCTGTCTTGTGTCATGTCTGCTTTAAATAGTCATTTTGATTTTTAATTGTATTTTTATTGCTTCTTTCAGTTCTTCCATTGCATTTTGCTGTGTTGCAATTTGAGTTCTATATAACACAGATTGTAACGCCATAAAACACAATTAAAAAAATTGGTAATTAAAAATACGCTTAAAATCATACATTGTCAAGCACAGCACATTTCAATTGCTACAACAGGCAGAAAAATCTTTTAAGCGGTTCACCAAGATCATTGGCAACTTTCAAGTGACTCATGGGGAAGACAAGTGTAAGAACCACAATGCCTGCCTACTTCATTTGTCTGTTGTGTTCACCCTCTTTTCAGCCCTGGTTTCCAAAGTGGAATGCCATTGCAAGATTTTGGCAAAACAAATACAATTAAAACAAAGAAGCGCTTGTTGGTTAAAGATATGGGGATAGAATAAGATCAGTCTTCCTCCCTCATCCTCTGATTTTGCCTCTGCTGCATATTTTGGGAGCCTCATTCCCCCTTTCCCCCTGGGGGGTGAGATTCTGCTGGGACAAAATTAGAGGGGATGGGTCCTTCACAGGCAGATTGCCATTCCTCCCTGTGATCCAACCCCTCTGTACAGTATCTGCCTGCCTGTCCCCATTCAAATAAATGGAGAAGAGGTGTGCCATTAGACTGCATGGCAGTGGGCAGAAAGAGACTCCCACTCCTGAGCCTGTGCTCAATCTGAGGAGAACACTGGGAAACTTTCCCATTTCTATTAGCATGGCCTGTCCAACCATGTTGGAAACAAAAAAAAAAGTGAAATAAGAGCATCACATGTGTACAGGAAGACAGATGAACCCCAAAGTTTGGTACTGGGCAAGATAAGATCATCAGAATAGAGTTAATGTTTTTGTAGGTTGAGTCATCGTGGCGGCTGGTGGAAGTACAACACCCCTGAGAAGGTCTGGTATATTTGAAGCACATTTTTCTCGCCCACTGTCTGTGCAGTGATTTTCCTTTGATTGAAGAAGCATACAGGATCTCTCTCATGGGGCAAATTGTCTGGAATCAAATAAAATGCTTCATTCCGAAATGAACTTCAGGTGGTGGTTCTAGAAAAGTGCTTGCTTGATCTATTACAAAAGAGGAAAGCAAAATACTTTCCTTGCAAGTGGTGTCCTCAAGAACTTTGTGTTAAAGATCAGAGGGAAGGCCAGTTGAGGTTCATCCATTAAGGTGAATGGGGCACCAAAGCCCTCAGCCACCTTCCTGTCCTCTTACAACAGATCCAGTAATTTAGAGGGAAATGTGCATCACAATGAAAAAATGAGTAAAATAACATACAAAAATTCATCATATTAGAAGAAATGTGTACATAGGGGGGAGTATTTTTACTGAGGGAAATTTGCACTAAAATGCTGAATAATGTTCCTGAAGAATTTGTCTTTATATAAAAAATGAATAAATTGCTGTAGAAGCTTGAGGAACTGAATTGAAGAATGGAGAAATGAGAAACTATGAGAACCAAAATGGACAAGTCCTTCCATTCCTGTTCCTAGCTGTATCCCAGCTTTGAACTGTCTGGAAAAGAAGGTTCATATTTCATGTGTGTATGTGTGTGAGAGAGAGCCAGATTCCAATCAATATTACACATCCCCTGGAAGATGTCGAGATGCAGAAAGCAGATGGTTGGCTCAAGTGGATAGCAGACTCCAAAAGATTGTTCCATTCATTCAATTTGCTATTTCTGAACCAACTTTTTTTAAAAAATTTTAAAAAAGAAACCTACACATGAGCAAATCAAGTGGGGGGGAAAAGATGGCCTGAGAAAACTGTGTACAATTTTAGAATTATGATGGAAGGAGCTGGAGGTACAACAGTCCTCACCTTAAAGGGCGTACCCAATCCAACTTCCATTCATCATAACAGTGTGCTTGGCAGAACTCTCCACCTCTGTTCCTGGTGAGATTTTTTGGCCTGAGTTGGGACTGTGTGACAGAGATGTATGAAACAAAGCAGGGTGTTGTTGTTTTTTTCCATTTTAGCAGATGAGCTACATTGAAATGTGCTTCTGCGTATCTGCTTCCTCTCCCTCCCACACCACTGTGCAGATTAGTAGATTAGTGATGTGACGTTTCTAGTGCTGCAGATGTTGCAAACTTGAGTTCATTTTAACTGGGTGTGTGTGATGGGGGTGAAGACGGGAACAAAATTCTAACAGCAAAATCCTTTGCATGTTTACCATTTTCATAAGAGCATAAGAAGAATTATGGTGCACCAGGACTCATCTAGTTCAGCACTCTTCTCACCTGTGATTCCCTGCAAACTGCTATAACACATGCAATAGTGGAGTGTGAGCATAGGTATCCTGTCTAGTAGCTGCTGATAGCATTATGTTCCATGAATTTGTGTAACCAATTATATTGTCACTACTATGTTTTGTTCAATGGGACTTGCTCCCAGGTATGTGGGTAAAGGCTAGCAGCCCAGAATGAGTTCTCCAGAGCTGTCTGTCCCACAAGTATAATATAAATATCAGCAGAGAACCACAGGGAAGTCCTTTGCCATGTGAATTAGGTACAGACCATTTCTGAATAGGTGAGCATTCCATGACATCACAGCACCTCAACCAATGGCCATTAAGGCTTGTTTCAACCAGGTTTCAGGCAGACCTGACCTTTTGGGCTCCTGTGAGCCCATGGTGATTCATTGCATCATATTGGTCTTGTTAATCCCTTCTAAAACAAACAGGGATGGCTTGCAAATTTACTCCTGGGGGTTTATTCCCCATTTAGAATAAACCTACCCCCAAATGAACTCTTAGCACCATGCAGCATGTCAGAGAGAGTAAGATGTTAAGCAGTATGTGAATATTTCCTTTGCTTCCCAGCAGGTGGGCTTTCACAGATACACAAGCATGAGAAAAGTCGTATTTTGAGCTAAAGGGTGATAATTTATTAAAGCTGATCTTGAGAAGACAAAGTACCATTTTTTTTAAAAAAAATAAAACTTTTTAAAAATGCATTGCAGTCTCTTCCGCTTGAAAAAAGCTACATGCATAATGCCGCCAATGGGGTTTTAATGGGCAAGGATCTGTTTGGATTTTTGTTGCCTTAAGTTGACTTGACAAGAACATGGCACTAGATGCCAGAACAAAAAGGGCCCACGGTGAGGCAGATCCTAATAGTACTTTTGTTGTTGTTTAGTAGTTGTGTTTCTTCCAGACACAGATGTGTTTTGTGGGAGTAATTCGCCAGAAACTGTTACGCTTTGGCAACAACCCAACCAGCCAGTCACCCACCCCATCAGTATGTCCACAGATAAAAATAGGTACAGGCTCATAACTCCCTAATTCTCCTTCCAAAAGTCACTGGCTACTCCCCACTCCCCACATGATTCTTTTTGTAATATATAAATAGAATTATTATTTTTTTTAAAAAAAGAATATTGGTTTCCAAAGGATCAAGCAGCCCATCACAGATAAATTTTGTATAGTTGCAAATTAATATAATTGACACTTCTTCATTTCATAACTGTACCATTAAAATTGCATTATCCTTTTGTCCAATTCTATAACACACCTTCCAGGCCACAGTAGATGCATCAGGTCCACTGTTCTGTTCCCAAACTGGCCAGACATGCTTCCCTCCTGCCTTTTCCAGCAACTGGTATTCAGAAACAGTACAGACTGCAATGTTTTAGGCACATTTGATATGTATGCAACTGTGCTGAAGCCAGAAGTGACCTGAAAAGTCACCAAAAGGGGCAGTGGGGTGGGGGCGGAATGAGATGTTTGCAGGCTTTTCCAATGGTGTTTCAATTATACGTGATTGCGCTTAAACACTCAGTGTCTTGGAATGTAACCTGGGGAGGTTAACCTGTGCTGCCTCTGACTCTGAAGGCAGAACAGAGCAATAGCAGTTAGTAGCCTTCAATAGCGTTATTCTCCATGAATTTGTCCAATCCTCTCTTTTACAGATGCCCAGGTTGGTGGCCA